TGCCTATACTGGGATTGCTCTTGAACTAATATTACCACTTGTAACATTATTTGGTCCTTGAGCTATCTCCTAACTGAAGATCAAGGACACTTAATCATTGTTGATTAACCCCAATTATTGAACTACACATTATTCTCTTTGTATGAACATGATGCTCAACTAACTAGGCAACAGGGGTTACAGTGCAGGGTCCATGCGGATAAGAAATGAGGACAGCAAACAAAAGCTAGGTTGGATGAACTGGTGGAGAGGAAAATGCTGACTGGCAAATAAATAAAACACAATTTGGATGTTGGGAATGAGGAGGCTTTGTTGCTCCAGCTTTCAGAATGGTGATTGGCTGGTGTTCATTTGGTTGCAGTTGAAGAGAGTTGGCAGAAGATGATTTTGGCATTTGCCCTGGCAGACCTGCCTTTTGTGGTGGTCAGCATGGCTCATGAATCCAGGATTGGATGAAGAATAGCAATCAATCATTGGAAGTATATGGGAGTTCCCTTCAGAGATTTGGGGGTGTGGCATGGAGCCAGCCAACCCCAGCCAGGATATGGCTGTGAGATCACACTGGGCTTCACCCAGCTGGAGCATCTCAAGCCATTCCATGGGATTGACAAGCAGGTCATTTTGATTGGCTCATCAAAGCCTGGATCCAATTTATCTACAGTTGTAACTAGATAAAGTTGTGGCCCATTTCCTTCCATGAAATGGTGTCTGTCTGTTCTGTGATTTACCATTTATTATGGAACTCACTACTGCACACAAACACATACACCTGAAGACACCACTACTCTGAACAAAGTTATTAAGTGCTCATTTGTCCATTTTTGACCAACTTTGTCCCCTTCTCTTCAAAAGTTCTGGACCACCTTACAAAATATTGTTTTATATTGTGAATCCCAAATCTGCTAGCTACCATAACTGTCATGGTCACAAGTCCCTTTTCCAAAAGTTGTGTGTGTGTGTGTGTGCCTTCAAGTTGCCTGACAATTTATGGTAACCCCATGACCCTAAAAGTAATGTTAGTTCTGCCAACACCATATATAAGCATAATGCACTATAAAAGGTAGGCTTCCATACAGATTTTACAACTCTGATGTAATATCTCAGATGAGACACCCAAAAAAGTTTGATGAAGGCAGACCACTATTAGCACCAAACAAGAATTACCACTTCCCCTTCTCCTCTCTTATCATATTTCAAATACATATCACGTAGAAAGGAGGGAAAGTAGCAACTAAACAGCAGTCATAGCCTGGCCCTCTGTGCTCTATCTGGATTTCATTGTGTCTACAAAAGTGATCCACTGTGATATATGACTTCTAGCGCTGCCATATAATACAAATGCTTACCACAGTATAATGAGTATGACGGGAATTGTTTCAAAATTTATAAAGGGGATTTTTTTTTGCTGTAGTTTTTTGTAGCCCATGTGTCAGGATTTGCCCTCTTCAATTATTTATTAAGAAAGCAATATTTTTCTAAGGTGGGTGTACAGCTTGTGTCCTCTGCTTTCAATTAGTTGGGAATTTACTATGTTCAGCCAAATGTCCATTCATCAAATTCCCCATTTCTGGCAAAGTGGATGAATTCTCCATTTACATTCTTATGGTTAAACCAATGAGTCTACTTATGTCTCATGCTAAATCTCAGCTGACAACAGACCTGCCTGGATGGTGGTGAGATGTGATTACTGAGGTTCTTTCCATATATTTATTGGTTTTAGTGGAAAGTCATGCTGTATTTGGACAGGTTGCTTCACCTGTCTAAACTGGTGGCCATCTACTCATTAAGAACGTAAGTACAGAAAGAATGGCATGGCTAAATCAAAGCAATTTCATCAGGGTTATACCAAGACACTGCACAGTTTGAGCTAAAGGGCAAGATGGGAACCCCACTCCAGATACAGAGACTAATCACACAGACAATTGAATCTTTTTTTAATGGCTAACTTCGGGATGTCATCCTTAACACTTAAAATGCAGACTGCTTGGACAGACTGACAAGGTAGTATACCAGACATACATCTCTGTCTTATAGAAGAGAGAGAGCAAGGAGTTTATGAAATACATCTAGAAAGCTATCCAAAGCATAAATTTCCTGAGCCAGTTTCCTCATTTTGTCTAATGGAAAGGCCAGTCCTACTTTAACATATAATCCAGCATGCTGCCTCACAGTAGCCACCAATATATCTCTCCAAATTCGAGATGCAAAGATGATCATCTTATACTGTTCTCCCCAAGGAAATGTTATTCACTAGTACACTATCCATAAAATGGAATATCTATCATGGTTCGGTCCCCTTGAATACCTATGTCTTCCATTAATTTGCCTCGCTTGTCTTCAATCCAATGACCACTAGTGTGTTTTGTGACAAATATATCAATGCACTGAGAACAAACCGTGGATGGAACACTTTCCCTTGCCTGTCCTGAAATGTACTATCCAGCACTTGGAAAAGTTACATTTTATACTGCAATTACCAGATCCGCTGCAGACACATTTCTCAGAGTGGTAGTTCAAAAATAACTTTCCAATGATAGTCTTAGATGAAACAATCAATGCACTCCAGACAAATGGCCATTCAGCCTCTGTTTAAAACTCCAGAGAAGAAGACTCCATGACTTCCAAGGCAGCATATAACCCTGTTGAACAGCTTTCACCCTCGGGAAGTTCTTCTTGATGTCTGGGTGGAATCCCTGTTCCTGTAATGGAATCCATTGCTCTAAGTTCTAAAGCTAGGGCACAACACACACACACACACACACACACAAACCTGTTCTCTGTGCAGAACACAAGCAATTTTCACACACACACACACCCCACACACACACACACCTTTAATTTTTCTGAAACACGTTGGGACATTTAAATAAAGGGGAAATACTTTGGATGAATGCTTGTTTTCTCTCACAGCTGGGAGAGAATGACTGTGATGTGTTTTTCTTGCATGCAAGAATGAAATAGTTGGGGATTTACATCCCTACCTCACACATTAAACCTGTTTTTCTTTTTGCTGCTTCTTCAGCCAGTTGGTCATCCTGTTTCTGAATTTTCTCTGAGCTACTACCTTGAAATGTCTCTATCCACTTGTGTGAGCCCTTCTCTGAATACATTTAAATGCAGCCGTGTAGCATCCTGCTGATCTTGGAAGAATACTGCCTATTCCTTCATATTATCCCATCCCAAGCTGGAATAATAACCCTTATTATTACATGTTATTACTCTTAGAAATTGCTCTCTCAGGTCTTTCTGAATACTTCCCAAATATGTAGCCTTACAAAGCCATCCACAGGCCATCAATCTGTCCTTATTTCCATCCTATCACCAAGCCATGCAGAAAGTTCTCTCCAGCTCCATTTGACAATCAGCCAGTAACTTCTCCCACACAAGCTGCTTCTTTTCATCTTCTCCAGCCTGCCTTTCCATGGCGTGATTTCCTCCCTCTCCATTGTGTCCTAACAGATGACACTGAACCACAGTTCTGATTTAAGCCATAGCTACCACAGAATTATTTCTTGTCAGCACAAAAGCATATGACTCCAAGAAGACAGCCCAGTCATGGGACCTCTCCATATCTTCTTACATAGTTTTCCTAACAAATCTAAATCTTTTCTGAGACAGACACAAAAGGCATGGAAAATAAGTTTTTGTTTGTATCTGAATGGTATGCAAAAATGTGTGTGTGTGAACTAACCCATGTTTGTATGCATAATTCTGATCATTGGTTTTATTCTTAGTAAACAGTTATGACACATCAAAATAATCATTCTAAAGCATAAGAACAGTGTAGAATTGTTTTGTCTTGTTTGCTTGTTGTTGTGCCTTGCATGAGGGATGCCTTTTTGGTCTCAAGTCTGTTGTATTTGACAGTAATAAATTGGACCTGATCCTTGGCGCAGAAAGGCCAGACCCACCCTGCGGTTTAGGAAGGACAGCATTTTTACCAAATCTTCCTCCCAGGCTTTGTATAGAAGCTTCTCTGCAGAGGTTTGTATTTAATATGTTCTCTTACAAATCTCTAGGACTTCTGGTGTTGGAAGGTGCCCAAAGGACTGGGCTGAAGAACGTAGAGATTACTAGAGACATATTATCCAGATAATAATAATATCGCTGGAACACCCCAGCAAGTGAGAGGCCAAAAGTGGCAGGCTCAAACCCAGAACCTCAATCAATGGCTAATACGAAACGAAAGACTCCACCCTGGGCACACAGAAAACTGGGCGACTTGGAAGGCGCTGAACAGACTGCATTCTGGCACCACGAGATGCAGAGCCAATCTTAAGAAATGGGGCTACAAAGTGGAATCCACGGCATGCGAGTGTGGAGAAGAGCAAACCACTGACCACCTGCTGCAATGCAACCTGAGCCCTGCCAGATGCACGATGGAGGACCTTCTTGCGGCAACACCAGAGGCACTCCAAGTGGCCAGATACTGGTCAAAGGACATTTAATCAGCTACCAAGCTTGCAAACTTTTGTTTTGTCTGTTTGTTTGTTCGTTTTGTTAAAAATGTAATACAACTGTCTGGTTGCTCCTGACACGATAAATAAATAAATATCTCAGATTTTTAAAAATAGCATTTTTATTCAATTTTCTCCACTTTTGCAGGAGCCCTATGCCCCCAACCCCAGCGAATATGGGGGACATGTTGTATTAAGCAGGTGCATGTAGGATCAACCCTTACACAGTGCAGGCTGAAGGCTTTCGTGTCATTAGAGTACTAAATCCCCTCTGGATTTTAGTACAAACCTGAAAGGAAATTTAGAACAAACTTAAAGGAGGCTTTGGGGATAGGTTTGAACATCCTGGATAATTCATTTAAAATTCAGATTCCAACCCAAAAAGAGTTACTGCTCCTCTGAGATAGAAGCAACCAACCACTGTCACAGAAATAATAAGGAAAGGGGAAACTTTCTGCATGTAGGAAAAGCCAAAAGCATGGCAGAACATGCAAATACTTTGCATACAAAAGCTCCAAATCTTCAGCTGGCAAAGATACTTACTTACTTAGGTGATCCCTCATAGCTTGAGGATGGTTGTCTTCCAAATGTGGTGTCTTGGTGGTGAGTCCTTAGGTGGCTGTGGACTCCTATTCTTGATCCGCATGTTCTCCCACAGTGAGGACATTGGTTTCCAGACAGAAGATGGTCCCAGTCGGGGTTGGCTTGATCTGCCTTCCTCTTGGCACATTTCTCCCTTTCGCCCTCCATTTGTGCCTCTTTGAATTCTGCAGCACTGCTGGTCGCAGCTGACCTCCAGTTAGAATGCTCAAGGGCCAGGGCTTCCCGGTTCTTGGTGTCTATGTTTTTGAGGTTGGCTTTAAGCCCATCTTTAAATCTCTTTTCCTGTCTGTCAACGTTCCATTTTCCGTTCTTAAGTTTGAAGTAGAGTAACTGCTTTGGGAGACAGAAAGGGGAATGATAAAAACGTAACAAATGTACAGTCTTCAGAGTTGTGTAATATCTTGTTTTTTAGGTTCATCCAAATATCTCAAGCATATCAAGCTTTTGAGTCTTCCATCATCAACAACAACTCCTGCCTCATTTCTAGATTGAGACACAAAGAAGCTCAGAATCCTTCATTGCGCTAGATCTTATAAAATGTAAGAAATGGGGAGAAACAAAAACTCCCAAAACCTGTCCGGATGCAGTGTCCATCTGGTGACCAGCAGTCTTCAGGGAGACTGGCTCCCAAGATGGGGATTTGCAGTGGCTCACTGAAGAAAAAAAGGTGTTGAAACATCAGTGCGCATGGCTCTCTTCTCCGATAACAAAAAAGACAGAGATCTGTGAGATCTGTCCATTTGTTACAAGTTTGAAGAACCTCAGCCTTGGCAGCTATATTTGTGTCCACTGGCTAGCAATGCTTTGTTTCTTCTTTGAAACACCCAAAGGGACATTCTACATTCCTTTCTACAGCTGAAGTGTTTCCTTTTTACACAGGAGCTTCTCTTTGTTTCTGCAGTTTGCCTTCAAGTCGTTTTCAGCGTACGGCGACCCTAAGGCAAACCTATCATGTCTCCCTCTCTCATGTTCTCAAGCGTGAGCAATTATGAATCCTTGTGTTTATTTTACTAGAATACACCTGCAACCTAAATAGTGTATGATAAGCAGATGTTCATGCCTATAAACTGAACCAAGCACTATGATTTATAGACTCCTGAGATTCAGAGTTTGCAAGTGAAAGCCAAGGTCACTGCTGGATTTTTCACATTTAATAAATCTTGACAATGCTTGGGAGGTTGAGCTTTGGGTGGGGGAAAACAAATCCATTACAACTTGTAACAGTTTGAGAGGGATGCCAATGATGATCTGTGAAGCAGATGTAAGACAGGTTGATGTTGATATGTGAAGATGACCTCGCAGAGTAGATCAAACACAACACTTGATTTGGAAACACATGTGACATACTGGGTGAATTGGAAGTGAGGGTTGGGGCATCACTCCTGCTCACATTTATCTGGGAGTAAACCCCATTGAGCTCAGTGGTATTCTTCTGAGACGGCAATCCACGATTGGGTTGTTGTAGGTTTTTTGGGCTATATGGCCATGTTCTAGAAGCATTCTCTTCTGACGTTTCACCTGCATCTATGGTAGACATTATTTATTTATTTATTTCATCTACTTCTACCCCGCCCTTCTCACCCCGGGGGGGACTCAGGGCGGCTTACAAAGGAGGCACAATTAGATGCCCAAATCACACAACAAACAATACAAAATATAACAGTTCAACAATTAAAATGAAACATCAATACCTATTAAAATCATAAAAACTATCTCATGTCAGAGTCCATATATCAGAGTCCATATATCCATTCCATTCCATTGTCCTTGTCCTTTAATCAGTTGTCAGCATGGCCAAAAGCTTGGTCCCACATCCAGGTCTTTAGTTTTTTCCTAAACGCTAGAAGGGAAGTCGTCGATCTGATCTCCCCGGGGAGTGAGTTCCACAGGTGGGGGGCCACCACTGAGAAGGCCCTGCTCCTCGTCCCCGCCAGCCTCACTTGTGCCACTGGCGGGGTCGAGAGCAGGGCCTCCCCAGAAGATCTTAAACTTCGAGGTGGGATGTAGAGGGAGATCCGTTCGGACAGATACACTGGGCCGGAACCGTATAGGGTTTTGTAGGTCAAAACCAGCACTTTGAATTGTGCTCGGAATTGGATCGGCAGCCAGTGGAGCTGACGCAACAGGGGGGTGGTGT